TCAGTGTTGGAAGGGAAGTGAAAGGTCATTTAGTCCAGCCCCCTGCCCTCTGCCCCCTGCCCAAGGCATCCCTACTTCAATATCTGTGATAGATCGTCATCTGGCCTCTTCTTGAATGCTTCCAAGTGACAGAAAACTTGCTTCCCAACAAATCAGTCCCTTATGTCTTTCAAAGGCAGCAAGGGATAGGGGTTGAAGTGCTGAACTTGGAGTCAGGAAGATCTGAGTTCCTATTCTGCCTCTCACTTACTAGCTATGTGACCACGGGTAAATTGTTTAATCTTACTGAGCTTCAGTTTTCTGACGTATAAAATGGGGGTATAAAATGAGAGGCAACAGGGAGTAGTGGATAGAGAGTTGGTCTTGAAGCCAGAAAGATCTGAGTTCAGCTCTTGTCTCTGGCACATATTGAATGAGTGACCCTGGGTAAGTCACTTAACCTTTTAGTGCTCCAGGCAATTCTTTAAGACTTGAAGGTGCTTGCCTGCACTGGTAGAGGAAGTTTCTTCACATGGGAGTTCCCTGTACCAGTGAAATCACAGGTCTTGACTCTCTTGCTAAAATGAGGATAATAATATTCCTACACAGTTGTAATAAAGTTCAAATGAGATTGTATATAATTTGATTTGCAAAGTTGAAAGTGTTCCCAAAATGTCAGTTAGTATTATTCCTTAAGATGAACCAAAAAATCTGCCTGTGCAATTTCCATCCATTGGTGCTCATCCTGTGTTCTGAGACCAGTCAAAGTTAAGTCCAATCCCTCTTCCACGTGACAATCCTTCAGATAGTTTGAAGTCCGCTAAAGGCAGGGTGGGAGGCTATGTGAACAGTCAGACGGGGGGAGCTTGGGCATGGTGTTCCCACCTTGGGTTTTGTGGCCCCCTTAGAAAGCCTCTAATCCTTGGGTTATCTCTCATTGGAAAAGCAGGGTACAGTTTGTTTGCTTTTTGTCTCCTCCATTAGAGTGTAAACTTATTGAGGGCAGGGACTGTCTTTTGCCTCTCTTTGTATCCCCCAAACTTAGCACAGTGCCTGGCACAAAGTAGGCCCTTAATAAATGTTTATTGCCTGACTGACTCTTTGGAACAGCTGGAAGACACTAAGAATCTTATAAAATCATACAGTGTCAGAGCTGGAAAGCGGCTTAGAAATCATCTGGCCCACCCCTCATTTTACAAGTAAGGAAACCGATGCCCAGAGAAGAAAAGTAATTTGTTCACACAGATAGTAAGCAGAAGGGCTGCAATTTGAACCCAGATCCTTGGACTTCTAATGTGATACCCCTTCCAAGACACCAACAAGGAGTTATAAGAAGCAGCAACTTATACTCTAGGAGGTGGTTATGACATTTAACCAAATGAATTAATACAAAATAATGCATAAATATATCATATATGCTCAAACAGAATGCCATATGACATAACGAAAGGGTCTCTAAAGGAGAGTTGTGTTACACAAAAGATAGGTTATAGTGGATAGATTGGAATTCAACAGATGGGAACGGAGAGCCTTTCAGGCACAAGGTCCACGGTAAGCATAGGCATGAAGACTGGAAAGTATGGGGTCCACACAGGGAGAGTGAATGATCCCCTTTAGCTACGGTAGAGTATGTAGTATAAGTATTATTATTCCCATTTTACAGATAAGAAAGCTAATGTTTCCCTCAAGGCCCAATTCTGATGCTGCTTTACCTTCTTCATGAAGACTTCCCTTAACATCCCCCGTTTCCCACCCAAGTGACCTATTCCCCAAATTCCTCATATCATTCTGACAGTATGTTTCCTTTATCATTATCTCATCATGCTTCTTTGTATTAGATATTTGGGTGGCTATCTTTCTCCTCATTAAATTGTAAGATCCTTTAGGGAAAGACCAGTGTTACACATACTGTTATCTCTGCAGTGCCTTGTTTTTGTTAGTAAATGTCTTATGAATCGAAATGGCGCTCAAGTGCCGGGTGGCACAGTGGATAGCATGCCGGGCCTGGAGTTAGGAAGACTCTTCTTGAGTTCAAATCCAGCCTTAGACACTTACTAGCTGTGTGACCCTGGGCAAGTCCCTTAACCCTGTTTGCCTCAGTTTCCTCATCTGTAAAATGAGCTAGAGAAGGAAACGGCCAACCACTCCAGCATCTTTGCCAAGAAAACCCCAAATGGGGTCACGGAGAGTCAGACATGACTGAAGAACACCTCAACTACTAAGTTTTGGAGCCAGGGCCCAAGTCGACTTCAAAGAGGTAGGAAGCAATAATGTTCAGAGGCCCTTGACAGTCTGCCTCAGACCAGGGCCTCCTGAAGACAGCCCCAGTGATTCAGAGGAGGTTATTAAGTCAGAAAAAAAAGTATTTATTATGTGCTAAGCTCTGGAAATACAAAGAAAGGCAAAAAAAAATGAGTCTGCTCTCATGGAGCTCTCAGTCCAATGGGGGAGATAAGAAGCAATAAGCTATGCACAAATAAGACATGCACAGGACAAAGTCGAGATAATCCCAGAGGGAAGGCACCAAGACTGAGAACTGAGAAGGGCTTCTTGCAGAAGGTGAAGCTTCAGCCGATGATGGAAGTCCGAGGTGAGCAAAGAGTGCTTGAGCCTTGGGGGAGAGCCAGTGCAAATGCCTGGAGTTGGGAGATAGAGTGTTATGTTCAAGGCACGCTCCTCGTAACATCTTTACATGGAGCAAGGGACTCTTCGTAGCTCCATAGCTCCTTTTCTCTATAGCGGGAAGGTATGGAGCAACTGAAATAGGAGGATGTACTAAAAAACTTCTTCAGGGGAGTTATTACAGACAGAGACAAGGTATACAGGTATTTAAATGTCGTCTCCCCTGCTTCCTGTCAGAGACACTGTGATTTAGCATATATGCAGCCAGTCTAGGAATTAGGAAGTCATCCTGGGAAGTCATTCTGCCTCTAACAGGCTGGCTTTCTATACTGACTTTCCTGAGAAGGTCATCTGACCTCTGTGAGCCCAAGTACTCTGAAACTCTAAGATGCAGAAGAGTTGCTCAACTGCATTGGAAGAAAGAGTTTGATGAGAACTCCTTGTGCCAGTGAAATGACTGGTCCCATCCAGTAGGGGTGTGTGTGTGTGTGTGTGTGTGTGAGAGAGAGAGAGAGAGAGAGAGAGAGAGAGAGAGAGAGAGAGAGAGAGAGACAGAGACAGAGACAGAGACAGAGAGACAGAGAAAGAAAAGAGAGAGAGAGAGAGAGAGAGAGAGAGAGAGAGAGAGAGAGAGACAGAGAGAGAGACAGAGAGAGACAGAGAAAGAAAAAGAGAGAGAGAGAGAGAGAGACAGAGAAAGAAAAAGAGAAAGAGAGAGAGAGAGAGAGAGAGAGAGAGAGAGAGAGAGAGAGAGAGAGAGATGCCTTCATACCACATTGTTCCTCATTTTTCCAACTGAATCATAATAACCATGTTGTTGTTCTGTCCTGTCTGACTCTTCATGATCCCATTTGGGTTTTTCTTAGCAAAGATACTGGAGTGGTTTGCCATTTCCTTCTCCAGCTCATTTTACAGATGAGGAAACGGAAGCAAACAAGGCTTAAGTGACTTGTCCAGGGTCACACAGCTAGCAAGTATCTGAGGCTGGATTTGAACTCAGGTCTTCTTGATTCCATATCTGGTGCTCTATCCACTGGGCCACCTCGCTGCCCAAATAATAAGAACCACGGCTGACATTTATGTATCACTTCAAGGTCTACAAAGTACTTTATGTACACTATGCCGTTTAAACTTCATAGATCATAGGTCTAGAGCAGGAAAGAATTTTAGAGTCCACCTAGTCAACCTTTTTTTAACAAATGAGAAACTCAATTTCCAACAGGATAATTGGGCTGCCCAAGGTCACAGAGGTAGCAGGCATTGGAGGTGGTTTTTGAAGCTTGGCCTTCTGACTCTGGAGCCATATTTTTTTTTTAGTGTGCTGCATAGACTCATATGCTAGGTGAGGTACATATATAAAGTAGTATTAGTCCCATTTTACAGATGAAGAAACTGAGACCCAAGGCGTTTAAGTGGCTTGTCCAAAGTCACCCAGGTAACGACCATCAGAGGTCGGATTTGAACCTTCTGACTCTAGAACCATTATTCTTTCCAGCATGCTCTACTGCCTCAGCCTTATTATCTATGAGATATTTTTATTCCAATTTTAAAGGTGAAGAAACTGAAATTTAGGAAAGTTAAAGACTTATCCAGGTTAATAATAATAATAATGATAATAATAATAATAATAATGATTAATGGATGATATTTATATAGCACTTACTATGTCCCAGACACTATGCTAAATGCTTTATAATTATTATCTCATCAACAGCCCTGGGAGAATAGGTGCTGTTTTTACCCCCATTTTACAAATAAGAAAGCTGAGGTTAATGACTTGTCCAGGATCACACAGCTAGTAAATGTCTGAGGTAGAATTTGAACTCAGGTCTTCTTGACTCCAGGCCCAACACACTATCCACAGCGCCACCTAGCGGCCTCTAACATAGTTGTTAAGTATGAGAGACAAGTGGTGAATCCAGGGGTCCCCTGAACCCCCTTGCAGTCTTTTTTGGCACTAAATCCTTTGAGGATCCTGTCTTTGTCTTTTGTATCTCTCCTAAAGCCTAGCCAAGTCCGGCTGAGTACAGGACATTCTGGAAAGGCTTGTTGAATCTGAATGAATGACCATGAATTAAACATCTGGTTGTCCAGGCCCCTGAGGGAGGGTCCAGCTTCCAGGACCAGGTCAGAGGAAGAGGTGAGGGGGCAGAACTGGTCCAGAAGACGCTCCAAGTTGGATCTCACTGCCCACACCCTGGAGTCCTCCCTCGTTAGGAGGCAGTCTGAAGGACTAGAGCCATTGCTATGGGCAGGACCTCCAGGGCCATTCCTTCTCAAAGAGTCATTGTTCCCTTTGCAGACCCCAGGGACCGAGCAGAATATGCGCTGCTTCCTTTCCCCCCTTCTTTCTTGGTGTTTTTGGAGATGATCATTTCTCATTTTTTTTCTTTTGAAAGAAAAGTCTAACTGTCTGAAGAACCAGTGGGAATGGAGAATTGGGCTGTGAGAAGGAGGAGGCAATGGGGTGATGTCCTTGTTTGGGGAGGAGACAGATCTGACTGGGGTAGGTAAGATGTGGAAACCTCCTAGCATGCACCTCACAATGAAGGCATAATAAGGGTCATTGTTAAATAAAACTTCTTATAAGGTACATGTTTCCAATGCCCAAAGATTCCACTTTCCTTGGCATGTTGTTAGTTATTTTGTGATGTCAAGTCCTTGGTGTGAGAGTAAAGACTTAGTGCTTCTGGAGGACAATCATATGCAAGCAGAATACTCTTGAAGCCCTGCCTAGGGCAGCTAGAAGGGCCCTGAAAGGCTCTTAAGTCCAAATCCCTAACTTTACAGATGAAAAAACTGGGGCTCAAAGAAAGGAAATGATTTGCCCAGGATCACACAACTGGTAAGTATCTGAGGCAGGATTTGAACTCATTTCTTCATGGCTAAAAAGCCCAGGGCTTTATTCATTTTGCCACCTAGAAAGGTGGGGGTAAAGAAGGGAAAATACATTTCAAGCATGGGTGTGGATGCCAGCAAATGCATTAAACTTGGAGACTGACATTACTTATGACAAGATCAGAGGACTATTGCAGAGTGAGCCAAACTAAGAGAACAATGTATACAATAATAACATTATAAAGAGAAATAACTTTGGAAGACTCAAGAACTTTGATCACTACAATGACTAGCTATGATTCTAGAGGACAGAAGAGAACACAGGCTCCTTGCCTCCTGACAGAAGGCTGGTGGATCTAAGATGGAGAATAAGACATGTATTTGGGTACTGGTCTTGACCATGCATATTTGTTACATTTTTTTTTACATATTTGTTAATTTCTTTTGTCTTTCTTTTTTTTTCCATTGGAGGGTGGGGTAAGAAGTTAAGAGGGATAGAAATAAGGTAGAAGAGAGAAAGAAAGGAAGGAAGAAAGAAGGAAAGAAAGGAGAAAGGAAGAAAAGGAAAGAAGGAAAAAGGAAAGAAGAAAGAAGGAAAGAAAGGAGGGAAGGAAGAAAGAAGAAAGAAGGAAAGAAAAGAGGGAAGGAAAAAGAAAGGAAGAAAGAAAGGTTACTGAGGCATCTTTTTAAAAAACAGAACAGAAAGCTAGAAAGAAGAACAGACAGGCAGGATAACTTTCAAAGCTATGGGCTGAAGTTATTATGTACTTGACAAGAAAAACTGTATTTACTAGGGACTTTCAATTTCATATACAATTATCTTTTTCTATTCTATTCAGTATATGGAAAAACTCATTTTATTTGGCATTTGTTAAGTACAGAGTAAAACATTTTTAAATAAAAAAGAAAATGAAGGAGTTGGATTACAAAAAACACTATTAGAGTGTAAATTGCCTGAAGGTAATCTAAATTTTGCATGTTCTCAGCACCTAGCAGAGTCCTCTTAATAAATAAAGGGGCTTAATAAATATTTGTTGAATCTAAAGTTCTTTCTTCGCTACCATCCGATGAGGTAGGTGGTACAAATATTAACATCCCCATTTTACAGATAAGCAAGCCTAGACTCAGTAAAGTTAAGCGATTTACCCAAGGACAGGAAGCTGTTAAGTGTAGAGCTATAATGTTGAATCAAATGAGATGCTTATAGAGCGCTATAGAAATGCAGACTGCTAATGTATTAACATTGCTGTTATTATTAATCAGGAAATCCAGATAAGTGGCTGGCTATCTGAGAAGCTCGTTTGATTGGTGAGTCCCTCCAAGCAGCACAGATAATACTGAACCCAAGATGAATTTCTCTCCCTCCCCTAATGGTCTAGTTTAGCCAGAAACCAATCCCATCCCTACAGAATCTCTCCTTCGCTTTGCACTTTCTAAATAACTAGAAGCAGGTACTGGAACCCAGTGAGGCTGGCTGGGAGCAAATGATTAATGTGGGGACTATTTGGCCTTAGGGACTCCCAGTTTCCCAGACACGCAGCCTGGCTGCACAAACAGCATCCCTCTAGCTCTGGGTGCACAGTCACGAGGCGCAGTGAGAAAGGTCAAAGTCATCATAATAATCCACCCTGGCTCCAATCAACCTGCCGCCACTGACTCCCCGGGCAGCCCCAGTCTGGCCTGCCCTGCATGGGATCAATAAGCGCTTCCCTCTTTTGTCTGCTGGAGTTTCCTTCCAGGCTTTCTTTCTTTCTTTTCTTTCCTTTTTTTTTTTTTCCCAAATCCCCTAGGGAAAGTTTTGGCCAGTCCGGCCCCCCCCCCCCCCCCCCGACAAGACCCCCATGCAGGCAGAGCCAAGAACAGACTTTTTGGACCTTCTCTCCTTCCCTGCCCGCTCGCTTCTCCCCACTACCTAAGGGACCACTTACTGCTTGGGAGGCAGGCACCCAGGGGAGCAGCAGTTGCTTTCTCTTACCACTAGGGGTCCTAGAGAGAACAATTCAGTGCATAGAATCATAGATTTAGACTTCTTAAGCTGTCTAGTCTGGCCCCTTCATTTTATAGAATAGGTAACTGAGATCCAGAGAGGTTCAGTCACTTGCCTGAGGTCACGCAAGAAGAAAATGGCAGAGCGGAGATTTGAACCCGTGTCTGACGTCTCTAACACCTTCCCAGCAATTATCCACTGGTACGTCTTCCCTTGGACTGTGACTGAGCCTTCATTAGCTTCAACCTGTCATAGAATCACAACACACCAGAATTGGAAAGGAAGTCAGAGGTCGTCTAAGCCAAACCCCTTATTTTACAGATGTAACCTGGGTTTCTCCAGGCTACTGTTCAGTAGTAAAAGAGTAATTAACAATGCAAGGTGGGATTTAATGTGATTTAATAATTAAAATAATAAAGCCTTTCCTGTTGTTCAGTCATGTCAGAATCTTTCTGACCCCATTTGTTTTACTTGGCAACCATACTGGAGTGATTTACCATTTCCTTCTTCAATTCATTTTACAGATGAGGAAACTAAGGCAGACAAGGTTAAGTGACTTGCCTAGGTCACATAGCTAGTACATATCTGAGGCCAGATTTGAACTAGGAGATATCTTCCTGACTCCAGTCCTAGCAATCTAGCCACTTGTGCCACCTAACTGCTCTTAATAAAGGCTTTAAAGTACTGGAACTGGAGTCAAGAAGCCTTTAGAAAAACATGGAAAGACTTACATGAAATAATGAAGAGAGAAATGAGCAGAACCAAGAGAACATTGTATACAGTAACACCAATATTGTTTGAAGAACAACTGTGAATGACCACATTTTTTTGAGTATCAGAATACTCAAATCAACTACAAAGGAAAATGCTATCCACCTCCAAAGAAAGAACTGATAAACTGAAGTATGCTTAGTATGGTTTTACATATGTGTTCATGTATGCATGTATATATATATATATATATATATATATATATATATATATATATATATATATATATATATATATATATATTCTCTGGGATGAGGTAGGGATAGAGGGAGGGAGATAGATTGGAACTTAAAATGTAACAAAAAAATTTAATTTAATTTAAAAAAATGAGTTCAAATCTCACCTTAGGTGCTTACTGGCTGTGTGACCCAGAATAAATCATTAACTTCTCTGTGCCTCAGTTTCTCCTTCTTTAAAATGAGAGAGTTATACTACTCACTATAGGATGGAAAATCAGGGTACAGAAATACATACTAGATTTGGAGTAAATAAAAACTTAAAGGGGGTGGACTTGATGGTTTCTAAAATCCATTCCAGCACTCTTCTCTGGGTTTTCATGATACTACTGCCTTCTGGTTCCCATCCTACATGTCTGACTGCTCCTTCTCAGTCTCCTTTGATGGCTCATCACCTACATCAAGCATTCTAACTGTGCATATCCCCCAAGGTTCTGTCTGAGGCCATCTTTTCTTTCCCCATCCTTTCTTTCTTTCCTTTCTTTCTTTTTCAATATGTTCTTTTCTCCTTTGTCTGAAGGAGTTTTCTTCCAGCGCTCGCTCTCTCTCTCTGTCTCTCTCTCTCTCTCTCTCTCTCTCTCTCTCTCTCTCTCTCTCTCTCTCTCACTCTCTCTGTCTCTGTCTCTCAAACACACACACACACACACACACACACACACACACACCCCCATCATGGGTTTAACTATCTCATCTCTTTGGGGACAGCTAGATGGCACAGTGGATAAAACACCAGCCCTAAAGCCAGGAGGACTTGAATCCAAATCTGGTCTCAGACACTTACTAGCTGTGTGACCCTGGGCAAATCACTTAATCCCAATTGCCTCCAACTGCACTGCCCCCCCCCAAAAAAAACCCCGAAACTATCATCTCTTTGCAGATGACTCACAGATATATAGCCCCAGTCTTTCCCCTGAAGTTCAATACCACATTGGACATTTCAAACTAAATGTCCCAGAGATATCTTAAATTCAGCATATCTAAAACTGAACTCCTTATCTTTCTCCCTAAAACCTCCTTACTTTCAAACAATCTTGTTTTTTCTAAGGCACTACCATCTTTCCATTCTCTCAGGTTTATGATCTCAACATTATCCAGAGCTCTTCACTCATGGACTCCATAGAGCTAATAAATTAATCGCTAAACCTTGCAGCTTCTCCCACTGACGCAGCTCTCCCATCTGACCCCTTTCCTCCACTCTCACAGCCACCACCATAGTTCAGGCTCTCATCGCCTCTTGCCTACATTATTGCAATAGCTTCCTAATGGGGCTCCCTGGCTCCTACGTGTTGCTGCTACCAAAATTACTTTAAGTGCAGCTCTGATCGTGTGACTCCCCTATTTGGCAAACTCTGATGGCTTCTTGTTGTCTCTAGGATAGAATATAAACCCTTCTATTTAGTTTTTAAAGCCCTACACAATCTGGAGCTGACCTATCTTTCCCCCCCCCATTAGATATTACTCCCCTCATACTCTGTGATTTAGCCAAAGTGTCTATCTCCGTTCCTTACACAGAACACTGCATCTCCACTCTGTGTCTTTGGCTGTGCCCATGCCTGGAATGCCTTCCTCCTTGTATCCTTGTATCCAAGATTCCCTCTTTAACATACAGCTCAAGCACCATCTGCATGCAGCGTTCCCTGATCCCCACTGACTGCTAGTATCCCTGCCAAACTATCACGTATTTAACTACTTTGTAGGTTTTTGTATTTATTCACTTTATGTTTATGGTGTATATGTATCTATAAATACATATGTGTGTGTGTGTTGTCAGCCTAAAATAAAGAAGATTGCCCAAACAGCTAAAACTAGGGTCTTTTAATCGAGGCTAGGGAATTGCAGTTCAGGGGCAGAGGGGAAAGGGTTAAATGTATTTCACCTGGGAGGGAGTCTCATGGGAGGCACAGGCTTGAGAAGCTGGTACTTAAGTTGTTTTATATAATAACTGAAAGTCCATAGAGAAGGCTGGAGGGGAGCAGTGACATCTGGTCAGAACAGCAGGCTTGGGCTCCAGGTACAGCAAAAAAACAGTTTGGACCTGCTTCAATTATGGGGTCAGTTGGGATCAGTCAGGTAACCCCTTCTTATGTCTGCATTCAACTACACACACATACACACACACATACACAGAGTATGTGTGTGTGTGTGTGTGTGTAATTGAATGCAGACATAAATACATAAATAGGTATATATTATCTATGTATTTATGTTGTATCCCTTCATTAGAATGGAATTTCCTTGAGAGTAAGTATTGCTTTATCACTATCTTTTAACTCTTAGGCTACCTCCATAAAGACAAGTGCATGTGTATGTATGTATATATGTATGTATATATATGCACATATACATATATACAAATATACACATACATATATATAACTAACATACAACTATGTATATACAGACTCTAATATCACACCCACATACATACACATGTATATGTGTGTGTGTATATATATATATATATATATAATATATATATATAATATATATATATAATATATATATATATAATATATATAATATATATATATATATATATATATATATATATATATATATAGAGAGAGAGAGAGAGAGAGAGAGAGAGAGAGAGAGAGAGAGAGAGAGTTGTCTTTACCATTCAAATGCAAACATCTTGTGATTCTTTGTGCAGCTAGATGGTACAGAGGATAGAGCACCGGGCCTGGAATCAGGAAAACCTGAGTTCAAATCCAGCCTCAGACACTCACAAGCTGTGTGACCCTGTGCAAGTCATGGAACCCCTGTTTGCCTCTGTTTCCTCATCTGTAAAATGGGGATATTAGTAGCACCTCCCTCCCTGGGCTGTTGTAAGGATCAAATTAAATCATAAAGAGCTTAGCACAGTGCCTGGTACATGGTAAGCACTATGTACTAGATGTTAGTTATTATTGTATTGCCGGTATCTACCACACTTAGCACAGAGCATATATTTACTGTCTACTTGTTGATTGATTCCAGCTCTTAATCAGTGAGCCTATGAACCAGGGCACTGTAGTAGTTAGAGGATGAGCCTTGTAGGAAGAAGAATCTGAATTGAGTCTTGGTCAATGGATAAAACTTTGTTAAGTATAGAAGACAAGAAAGAGCATTGGGATGTATGGAAAGAGCATATATGCCAAGTGTTCAACGGGAAGAGTATCTCAAGTATATAGAGACTGGACCCGCCATTTCATTACTATAGGGGGAATGCCAGCATAAGGAAATTCTATCAGTGCAGGTTGGTTCATTCTCACAACTTATAATCTTAGAGAATTTCATGAAGAATAGAACAGGAAAGGAGAGAAGAGAAGACA